CCTCTGGCGAACTGTCGATCAAGGGTACATTATCCAGCCAGGAATCAGGTTCGAGCCCCGGATACGGCTCCTGCTGTGGACCTTCTGAATATGTTCGCTTCCGCGGACTACGCTGCGGAGAATTCTGAAGCAACAACGCCTTCAAACTAATGGTCTGAGGGGCTGCAACAGGAGGCTGGGGATCCGCAGTGGACTGAGAAGGTGAATCACTGCTCTCGGGATTCGCAAATGCACCCAGCAAGGACCAAGGGAAATCTTCGGTTACCCCAGAAAAAGGCTGGGCTTCGGAATGGACGGGCTGAGAAGCATCAGCGAGAGGCTGGGGATAGGAAGCTAACGGATCAAGCGGGAGGTTTCCAGGCTGAAATTCCGGAATAGTCAAACCAGTAGTTAAGTGCTCGGGGCCTACATCGGCAGGTTCCAGCCCTGTCGTGTGCACTGCCCCTTGTCCAAGATCCTGTGGCTCATGTATCCCCGAGCTGGAGGATGGAAAGGAAGGGAAAGTTGGGTTCGCGGTTTGTTGGGATCGTTGCATCTCCTGCTCAAATGCTATCGCTTCCTGATACAGCTGAAAGGCCACCCTTGCCACCTCTTCAGCTTCGTCCAAGGCTCTAGCTGGATCGNCGCTTCCTGATACAGCTGAAAGGCCACCCTTGCCACCTCTTCAGCTTCGTCCAAGGCTCTAGCTGGATCGGTTTCTTCGAGAAGGCTCAGTCCCAATTCCTCCTCTATAGATGCGCACTCTTCCAAGAGCTGTGATACGGAACCTTGTCCTTCGTTACTTTCCTCGCTGTCTGACAGCCTGCGAATCGAAGCTCCTGCCTCTCTGTTTGTTACGGCGGAGGTAGAGGCTCTGCAAACTGCCCGCACAAATGAAATGATTAGAGCGGGAATGAGCACAGCGAATAAAGCTAACAAGATTAAACCCCGGAACCCTCCTGCTGACCGCTTCCCACTGCCTCGGGAGTAACTGCTCCAATTAAGCTCTTCATCGCCTCCTGTTGCCAGTAGTGTAGCCTCCTCCCAAGCATGTCCTTTTGCAGTCGGTTGTATCGATGCAGACTGAGGCGCATCTGAAACCTCTTGCTCGTCTGTTACACGCTCTTCGCCGAGAACGATGGATGACATCTTGGCCAGAAAAAAATTATCACACTATAGCGTTGTGTGGTCCCGTGAAGTCGATACTAGAATTACTGGGATCCGGCAGGTGACCAATGGACGTCCGTTGTCGGAAGGCGGTAGTTTGCTCTTTCCACTCACAACAAAGGTCTCAACCGAAACTATAAAACTTGCAGAGTGGATTGAACCTGTGAAACAGCTTGAACCAGAATGAGATAGAACCTTCTGATCTCTTCGCTCACGGTACACTGGTCAGCAAAAGCGTGTACGTCACGAAGAACTAGAGCGAAGCGTGCTATCGACTTCTCTGCTCCTGTTTCCACAAACTACCTTCTGTAAAAAGTGGGGATAATATTGTAGGCTGCATCTACGCTTTTCACCAGAAAGACACCACGTACGCCGCGAGCGATGCTCAGCCCTTGTGCACGGGGCTAAAGCACGATCGGGAGCATGTTCGCGCCTCGCGCGCAGNGCGAGCGATGCTCAGCCCTTGTGCACGGGGCTAAAGCACGATCGGGAGCATGTTCGCGCCTCGCGCGCAGAAGCCAAAGCGCCCGAGAAGGAGTCAAAGTTGGGGTTATTCAGCCCATAGAAGCTTAAAATGTAGTAACTCAGCTATTTAGATCTAGTCATAATATATTCAGGCTGTATGTATGAGCTCCAGGCCTTCAGCTTTTTGTTGGCTCGCCTGCTGCGTCAGTTTGCTATAACAACTACTGTTCCTACGCAGTGCA